TAATTGATTTTACAAAAACAACATCGTTTTGATCTTACTTCAAATTGTTGTTATGATGTCTATTTAATTTGTACTTAAGATGTCTATTTAACTTTAACTTTGATTGAAAAAACATCTTAAGTATAAATAAAATAGACATCATAATAATAATTTGAGCTAAGATCAAAATGGCGTCGTTTTTGTAAAATCGATCAAAATATATATATATTCTATAAATTTTAAATCAACCAAAAAATGTTTCACGTGTCATACATGTCAGCAACCGTTAACGGAAAACTCATTCCGTTTACGGTTGTGTGGGAATTGATCGTATTTTAAAACATAATGTAGAAAATTCAAATGTATAGGTAGTTCATGTGGTTTTTGACATTGTTCAATAGTTCGTGTATGAATAGACAAACATTGCTTAGTTCATGGGGAATAGACTTTTTCCTATATAGCATTAACGTTGTGCTATCCTTTATATACATATCTCTCATCTAACCAAATATTCAAAACACACATTACATTATAAACCGTTGACAAAGATAACGAAAAAAGAGAGAAAAAATGGGAAGTGGAATGATAACGACAGTGGTTATAGCCCTAGCTTTCTTCATGATCGGTTCCAACAATTTCCACGTGGCGACAGCTCAGGTCTGTGGAGCTAACCTGTCGGGACTGATGAATGAGTGTCAACGTTACGTCGGCAACGCCGGACCAAATTCTCCACCACCGTCTCGATCTTGTTGTGCTTTGATTCGTCCGATCGACGTAAGTTGCGCTTGCCGCTACGTTACAAGGGATGTTATGAACTATATTGATATGGACAAAGTGGTTTACGTTGCTCGTTCTTGTGGCAAGAAGATTCCATCAGGTTATAAATGTGGAAGTAAGCAATTTCTTTTTTCTGTTATTTTTGAATCATTTTCGTTTTTGTTTAATCATGACATAATTTGGATTTGTATATATTAGGTTACACTATTCCGGCGGCTTAAAGAGGAAGGATATCAACAGAAATTGGATATGCTAAGTAATTAATAAAATGTATTAGTGTCTGAATAATAATGATGATATTGGGTCGTAATAAGTTTATTATATTATTATACGTAAATCGAAATGGAGATCATGGAAAAAATAATGAGACGGTAATAGTTTGAGAATATACTATCTTCAAATATGATGAAAGTGTGTTTATTGTTTTTTATTTGGAACACCAAAATAGATTTGAACTAGTTAAGTCACTTCCAACGTCCATTCCGATTACTACGACAGACTTTACTTTTGATCCTTCCTTGATCAAAAAGTACTAAAAAATGTGTTAAATGATCCGTGAACTTGGTCCCTACTTTATAATAAAATTTGACGTTTGATTTGACTTTGAGATGGAAAGAGACGTTTTACTGATCCTTTCTACAAACTTACTAGATGGTGTTCATTTTTGTGCGAAAACATGGTGTTTTGATGTAAATTTGTGCAGCGAATGTCATAATGTAATAGTACGCGAAATAGAAAATATATATTGTTTGTTCATATATAGAAAATATATATTGTTTGTTAATTTATCAAAACGGTATAAAGTTGGTGTAACCGGGGAAGTTTTTTCCGATGAATAATTTATATATAGTTTGCTACAAAAAAAAATGGTGTTACTAAATAGATCACATATGATTTGATATTATACACCATATATACATCTCATGACAATATAAAAATTACTAAATCTTATAAAAATTTAACACTAAACTAATCCACATTTTGTATAGCTCATTTTTTTTGGGACTTCATACCTCATTTAGCCTATTGAGGAATGACAATATGACATTGACATATCCGGTATAAAGTACAACATAATGAAATAAATAAATATATTTTCCAAAAAAAAATGAAATCTATTATATAATTAAGGAGTTCTCTCTTTATCTAGGATGTCCACCTAAGCAAAATATTTTTTTTAACAATAAAATTATTTTCAGTGCTTAATTTAGTTCATGTTTGTATATTAGTTGTTACTTACAACTACTAAAAGTTTGTATTAAATGAAAAGCGAAAATAAGTAAATAAATGATCAAAAGTACTACATATATACAAGAATATTTGAGTATTTTGTTGTTGTAAATATTAAATTATAACAAAAGCTATATTCACTTATATTGTATTCTATTTGAGAGTAGTATAAACAATATTAGTTTATGATAAAGATAAATGTTTACTTATTTAAATTTCAAAAATTGGAAATCTGT